GCTGTGGACACGTTTTTCCATACCTAGAAAGATGGCATCAGACATGCAAGGCCGTTATGGCTCTGCCTGGCTTGGTGACAGCCAGATAGAGACTATGGAACCTCTTCTCTAAAACCTAAAGGCAGCTCCTGACTGCTCTTCGATGTTCTAGGCAGCTATCTGAGCATTAGTGTGCATTTTCTTGTGGACTCAAGAAAAAAACCTTATTAAGCCATCAGTTCCCCTTATTAAGCCATCACTTCCCCTTGCAGTTGGGGCCACAGAGAGATGGAGACACCTCATCATAAACACATAACCAGAAGTGATGGCTTGGAGATCTAAATGTGTCCTTTCGTTCCTAGGCAGTCTCTTCTACCTGTTGCTTTCTGCCCGTTTTGTCAACACCATCCAGATATAGGGGAGAATTTACTGTCCCGGGTTCAGTCGCCTCTAGTAAACCCTGCTTCTGCCTCATCGTAGGTAAGTTTGAGGACAGGGAGGACCGTGTGCCCAAGCTGGAGCAGATAAACAGTACAAGGATCCTGAGCAGCCAGAACTTTTCCCTCACCAAGAAGGAGCTGCTGACCACAGAACTTCTGCTCCTGGAAGCTTTTGGCTGGGACCTCTGCCTGCCCACACCCGCCCATTTTCTGGACTACTACCTCTTGGCCTCCATCAGCCAGAAGGACCACCACTGCCACACCTGGCCCACCACCTGCCTCCGAAAGACCAAAGAGTGCCTCAAAGAGTATGCCCACTACTTCCTGGAAGTCACCCTGCAAGGTGAGGGCACAGAGGCAGTGGGGTGATGGAGGAGCACAGGGGCTAGGACCAGGTGGCTCAAGAGGAGCTTCATCCAGAGAGGGCCTCCCTTCGTGCTTAGAGGCCCCCATACCCATTTCACTTCCGCCTTGCAAAGAAACCCAAGATATCCCCAGTGTTGTAAAATAACACAGAAATGGAAAACCGAGGCTTACCCCAAAGCCTCCAGGACCTAGAGACTAGCAACTCACCTGGGCTGGTTTCTTATGAATCTTTCAGGTGATTTAAATCATACAAACCCACAAGTAGCTCATTCAAAAAGAGTTGTCATCACACAGATTAAATAGGGTGGGGGGAGGGGACAATGTTCATATCTGCATTAGCAGTAAGTTGGCTTGTTGCGGGGCTGGAGGGGTAGCTCAGTCTATAATGTGCTTGCTGTGAAAGCATGAGAAATTCTAAACTCAGGCACCGGAATCCACATAGAAAGCCAGACACAGGGATGCGCACACCTGCAATCCCGGAGAGAGAGAGGCAAAGACGAGAGACTCTTCCTGTGCTTGCCGGCACCTGATCACTGAGCCCCAGGCCCCAGTGTGGGACCCTGACTCAAAAAGCAAGACAGATGGCTCCCAAGGAGCGACACCTGAGGGTGACCTCATTTACACCTGCAGACACGCACTTAAACATATGAAAACACATAGGTTACCCTGTTTCGGGAAAAACAGTTCTCTCTCTCTCATGCATGTGTGTGTGTGTGTGTGTGTGTGTGTGTGTGTGTGTGTGTGTGTGT